AGGTTCTTTATGTAGCATTAAAGAGGTTCATTTAAGTGAACTGCAAAAAATAAAAAATAAAAATAAAAAGATTATAATGATCTGAATTTGTAGTAAATTCACAAACACCAGGACATTAATTACAAATGTTAAAATATAGCCATGAATTGAGGCTAGGATGGTAGGCCACAGTTTGAGTCTTAACATTGAATTACCTTGGATTTTTAGTCTTGGGCAGATCATTAATATTAGTTGACATGCTTTTATTTAATTTATTTTGTATTTTTCTAAAGAAAGGAGTAAAAACAAGAAAAAATGTTATAAGCTTACAGCAGTCAATATAAACTGTAACCAATTTACCAATAACCCATAATGGCATATAAATACCGAATTTATGTAAATATAAAAATATGTTATTTAACGTAGGATTTATTGTAAGACTGGATGGTCCAGGAGTTGGCAGTAGGCCACAGAACCTTTCAGCCAAGGTTTACTGGTTTGAATTTAGCTCATGACAAAAAGTGAACAAAAGTTTGCTTGGTCACTTATGTAAAATGAATTAATTCTTTTTGTTTTCTAATGGAGTATGGTCCACACCACAAAACCAGTACCACCCTGGTGCTAGTTAGCACCCTTGCCAAGGAGTGAATGGGCACAGAGACTCAAAAGCCCTTTGAGTGCTTTTGTGAACCTTTGAAAGCAGTCTGAAGATAATGGAATAAACAAAGGGTTGGGGGAGCTTGCCTGGATGCAGTGCCTGGGCTGTAAACAAACATCAGTTTTCATTTTTTAGTACTATCAATCTGGCACCTTTCTTGAGCACTAAAATTCATTGAAGAAAAATCTGGAAAAATGGGTGTTATTTACTTGCTATTCTGTAATGGTGTGTAAATACATACAGAAATCTGTAATTTGTATAAATACATTGTTATAGAATTTTGAAAATTGGTATTATTTACTTGATATCCCTTTAGAGCTGGTTTTCACAAGGATGCGTTTATGGAATTACAGCATTTCAAAAAAGGTGTTGTATTTCTAGGAAATCCCACATATAGCAAACCCATGAACATTTACGTTTCTTTTTCCTAATTTGGGAGGAGGTGGGAAGATCTTTCTGCTAGAAGCTTTTTCAAGGATTTCACTCAGGGCAGATCTGTAAAGTATTTTGCCAATATGGAAAAATGTGCTTAATGTCTAAATCAACTTTACTGAGTTTCTTGGTTCTGATTTAACACTAATATGGGACAAGCAGTGATCAAAAGTAGGCAAAGGAAAACTTGGTAGAGAAGGGAAGATGCTAAATGGAAGAAGAGACAAATTTGAAGAAAATGGTCTGGTTGCCAGTCAGAATGGAATTTCACTCACTCTCACTTAGAGGAAAAATGAATGTTTTAATTATTGGGTATAAGAATATGTATGGAGAGGAAGAGGGTGAGAGAAGAATGAGGTGAGTGCTACCATTGGGGTATGTGAATGGGACAAAAGTTCATTTAATAAAAACACAAATAGGAAGAAGATGATGAGGTAAACTACTTGCTTCAAGATAGTATGTAGGTTTCCCCTAAAACAACATAGGAGGAAGCAGGGGAAGATATGGCAGCAGCTTCTGTGCCTTCACCCTGTACTCATTTTATCCTTCAGAGGGCTCATTGCCTTCACCTTCTGAATTTCATACACATTTTATTTTATGTTGCTTAGCCATGTAGTAAAGGTATTCAAACGGAGAGGCAAATATAGGCCCTCATATACAACATTAGAAATAATGGGCTTTTATTGTACAAAAATAGAAACAGGCTTACACATCTTACTTCTCTGTATGAACTCATGCTCTTACTAATAAGCTTTGTAATATCCTGGTCAAGTGGCTATTTTCCCTATCTTACAAATGGGGAAACTGGGCTAAAGAAAGGTTGAAGTCAACTGTCAAATGAGGATGCCTAAGTTAGGCATGCTTGATTTTCAGAGGTGCTGAATGTGGAAGCCCTGTTGATTCCTTGGAAACTGGAAGTTTTGAAAACTGAACTGTTCATCTAAGTGCCTAAATTTAGGCACCCATATTTGACACTCTCCCCCCAACACTGGCCAGAAAAATTTGTTACATAATTTATTAGTCCAAGTTGGGAATAGAAACCAAAAGATGGGAAAGAAGGGAACCTTGCAGGTAGGAGTGATTAGGAGTGATTACTATGTATTAGGAGTGATTACTATGTGTTATTTACAAAATACTGCATACCACCAATCTTCTTGCCTTTTTCGGTAATTAAGTATTTTAATAGCTTTTGCACATTCTTCTTTATTGGGAAAAGGAATGCTGTGCTCTGAATCTTTGAAGTACTTTGTATGATGATCACCATTTTTGTTGACTTGGCCACAGTGTAGAATCATAGAAAATTAGGGTTGGAAGGACCTCAGGAGGTCATCTAGTCCAGTGGTTCTCAAACTTTTTCACACTGGGGTCTATTAGCATCACTATCAGCATGCCGTGACCCACACCCTCCTGGTCCCCGACCCACAGAGTCTCTCTCTGTGTTTCTGTATCTGTCACTGTTTCCCACAGCTGCTGCATCTGGCCCATTCCCTCCCTCTCCCACTGCTTTATGCTGCCCTGCTGCACACTCACCATGCCCCTGCTCCTCACCCCCCGCCCCGTGTGCCAGCTTCATGCAGCCTTTCAGCATTTCCCTCAGACCTCCCCACAACCCTTTAAACTCTTCTTGCAACCTACTTTTGGGCTGCAACCCACATGTTGAGAAACGCTTAACTAGTCGAACTGTCTGCTCAAAGTAAGACCATCCTCAACTAGATCATCCTAGCCAAGGCTTTCACTAGCCTGATTATAAAAACCTCCAAAGATGGAGATTCCACAACCTCTCTGGGTAACCTGTCCCAGTGTTTTACTACTCTACTGGTGAGAGAGTTTTTCCTAATATCTAACCAAAAATTCCCTTGCTTCAACTTGAGACCATTGTTCCTTGTTCTGTCATCTGTCACCACTGAGAACAGTCTAGATCCAACGTCTTTGGAACCACCCTTCATGTAGTTGAAGGCTGCTATTAAATCCCCACTCAGACTTCTCTTCTCCAGATTAAATAAAGCCCAGTTCCCTCAGCCTCTCCTCAGAGGTCATGTGTCCCAGCCCCCAAACCATTTTTGTTGCCCTCTGTTGGACTCTCTCCAATTTGTCTACATCCTTTATGTAGTGGGGGGCCCAAAACTCAACACCACATTCCAGATGTGGCCCCACCAGTGCCAAATAGTGGGGAAGAATCACTTCCCTCAGTCTGCTGACAACACTCCTACTAAAGTAGCCCAGTATACCATTAGTCTTCTTTGCAACAAGAGCACACTGTTGGTTCATATTCAGTTTATTGTCCACTGTAACCTCCAGGTCCTTTTCTGCAGAGTTGCTGCTTAGCCAGTTGGTCTACAGCCTGTACTGCATGGGATTGTTCTGTCCTAAATTCAGGACTTTGCTTGTCCTTATTGAACTTCATGAGATTTGTTTTGGTTTAGTCCTCCAATTTGTCTAGGTCTCTCTGAATCCTAGCCCTACCCTTCAGCGTATTTACTCCCCCCCCCCCCCGCCGCCCAGTTTGGTGTCATATGCTAACTTGCTGAGAGTGCACTCTATCTCATCTTCCAGGTCATTCATGAGAGGCAAAAACATTATTTAGCTTTTTATGAAACACACTAGCAAATTGCCCATCAAGAATAAAGGGGGGGGAGCAGGGACAGAGCCCTGTGTCCACCTCTGCTCCCGCCCACTTGTCCGGGCCTGTTCCTCCCTTTCC